TTGTTTTTACTCCCCTGTTGCAGTGTGGATATATACACTGGTTCCTACAGCTGCAGATTTTTTCCTTTTGAAACTCGGTGTTTTGGTTGGTTTGGGTGTAGTTATAAAGGATATATGATGACAAGTAAAGATGAACATTTTGGTAAAATTTTCATTGGTGTTYTGATGCAAACATAATTTTTAACTGACTCTGTTAACTTTTTATACACTCACAGTGATGAAAACATATCAATAGTTTGCTGACTCAGTCTTGCACAACTCTAGGCCAATCTTAGCTGTATGGAATGTAGAACAATAGTGTTGTATTTGTAAAACATTACCAGAATAGGGTTAATAATACATCTTATATGAAAGTTCATTTGCTTCTGTCTGGTACCAGGTTCTTGGTTGCTTCACAGGATGATGTTTTAATGGTGTTTTGATTAAATGCTCTTACAYGCATTTTGTGCTTTGGCACAGTACAAAACCTCATTTATGATTTTAAAAATGAAACCTCTGAAATAATTTGCTTGAAAGATTAAGTTTTAAAGTGCTGCAGCATCCAGTAGTTTGCATTTTTTAAGAGCTGCTCTCTTAGGTAGCTACATGGTTTACATTACCTGCATTAACTGTAGTTTGCTCAGTTTTGTTTGAGACTTKTTTTCTTTTAATTTGCAGTGATTTTTATAAACTGATCTGTATTACTTTCTTATATATAAAACATTCCAATGAAGCTGTTGCAGGATCAGAATAAACCTGACCAAACTATACATAAAAAAGCAGAATATATATATTTATGTCTTAGAAGAGAAATATGCATTTAATGGCTTTMAGAAATACTATTTCACAGCAGCTCTGTATATTTGAGTATTTCTATTCTTTCATTCCATTGTTCATTTCTCTATCTTTTGTYCTGGAGAGAAGTGGTTTGCATGTCTCCATAAAACTAACTTTACTTCAGAGCTGTGCTTTATGCACAACTCTTGTTTCTGGAAGTGGTGATTGGTAACCTCCCATTCACTGGACTCTGCTGCCATTCACAAGCTGTGTGCTGCCCTCGGGAATTGGCAATCCGTGCCCCAGAACAGCGGATGGTGGAGCCACACCTCCTGGTGCGCTGTCTTTGGAAACTCTACAGAGGGTGAAGTAGCAGCATTGTCAGAGCAGTTCTCCATATTTTTTGTTCAAATGGCTGTAGAACTCAATACAAGGCAGAACCAACCTAGGAGTTGGCAGTAAAGTCCTACAGACTAGCAGAAAAGCTGGTGGACCACGCTATTTCAGTCTGTTCTGTCCTAAGTCTGCATTCATATAACACAGGAAATAAAAGAATAAAACTAACAGCCTGTGTGTTCTGCTCCTCTACAAAAATAAGTTTTAAGAGCAGAGACAGTTAGCTGTGCTTTACAATGCTGAGTGACTTGCACAAAGTCCCAATACCAGCCATGAGCCAAGCTACTTGTGGAACCTAAATACACCAGCTGTCTGCCCTCTTCTCTCTGCAAAGTATTTTAAGAACCAGTTAAGCCATCTAAATGCTAAATTTGAGAATTAAGTCCCATTATCCAAAGTCATGATCTGATGGAAATCAATGGAAAATTTATTTTCTGTTTGCATGATTTTATTGGCTTTGCTATAAGATGTTCTGTGGATAATTGTAGATTTGTTTTAGTGGTATCTTACTTTCAAAAAACATGAGTGATCCCATATTGAACTTCTAATTTAACTTGATTATTAAGGGCACAAGGACAGACTGAGGGGGACAGTTGATCTTGGAAAAGGAGCAGAGTCTGTTCTTACAGGCTGGAATAGGTGACCTGTCAGGCAAAGCCTCTGTTTTAAACAAGCTCAAACTCCCAAGGGCCTCCTCCTAGCAGAAGTCTTTCAGGCCACTCTATGGCACTAGAAAGAAAGGAAATTATTCTTAGGATMAATTCTTCCCAGAAATGTTGAACTGATAAGAATTACGAAAACTCTRGTAATGTTTATTTGTTCAATATTTMRTTTGTGCTTTTCAAGGGGGACTCCCAATGGCTTTAATGTCCAGRCAGAACAGACAGGTTGCTTTTTGCATTCACAAAACAGCAGATGTGTTCATGATACCTCTGGCTTGAACAAAAATCAAAGTTATTATGTGCATAAATGACAAATGCTTTTCAGAGCCCACTTCACCCTTCACTTATGAGAGAGTGAGTTTAAACATGTTAATTTGCTATTTATTGTCCTTCATTGTGTATTTTCTGTATGAATGRAGTCAGAAKAAAAYTGGATGATTCATYTCTGTGTTTCTTTGGCCAAGAGTCTTTAATTAAATTGGAATTAAATTGCTGAAGTTACAGCAACTATAAAATGCAATTATGTTATTTGGACCTTTGTTCCATCATGATTTTAATYCAGCTTAGTGCTGTGCTTTCAAAAAAAGGAGAAAAAGGTCAATCCTGCACCCCTTTCCTGGCATCAATAGATGCTTGTTTGACCTTCATCTCTTGTAGCAGCACTGCCAACACTTATATTCTAAGTCACTAAAAGGAAATGATCCAAGCTGGAAATGCATCCATTACTCCTAGGTTCATTTACAAACACATTAATTCCTTCCTTTAGTTCCTTCCTTCAGAGTTTTCTGATGCAGTTATTGTACCCTTCAAGGTGAAGCCTGGACGAAGGAAAAGGAAGAAATAAGGTGGGAGAAGCAAAAGGGATGGCTGGWCTTGTCTGTCAGGGGTCACGTGGAGCTGTGGTTTTGCATTTGCCATTTGACACCAGTCAGTCTTTTCAATGGTAAATCCTTTCATGAGTGGTATCTTCTGGCTGGATCAGAAGTATAGGCCAGGTCATAATGAATTTGTGGTGCTTTAACCCTGAGAAGCTTTAAGATCTCTCTTAAGAGTCAGACCACTCTTACATTTTTTTTTGACACCCCTCATCTGACAATTCCATGCAATCGGCAGGCATAATTAGAATGCTGCTGTCACTAACAGTGGTCAGACAGATAATTGCAACTACATGAGCTTTAAAGGTTTTCAATGTCAGTTGGATTTAGATTATATTAATAAAAATTTCGTTGATGAAAACCAGGCATGCAGTRTTATTGTCAATGTCATGAAGCAACTCAGCTTGGAATAAAATATTAAAAAATATGCAGACTGTCAGCAAAAATGGTTTGTTGTCTGACCTCCTAATTTGTCTTCCAATAGCTTTTTTGCAGGATTTCTGCAAGGTAAAGGGTAACTTTTTTAAAACTTTTTGTCTTTATTTGTATATCACTTCCCTGTCAGCTATCTAGTTAAATGGCTGCTGTTTCCCCTGGCCTGTCTAATTACAGATGATTGCTGCTGAAAGCTGTACAATTATTTGTGAGATTACACCTGCCTTTTCTTAGTAATTGAAGCATCCTTAAGTGACAGTTTGACTGCGTTGATTGTGTGGAATTAAGGCAGACTTGACCAGCTGGCTCCAATGTCACTTTGTGCAGTTCCAGACAATTGCCATCAGTGCCAGCAGCTCTCCAAGTGCTTCCTCCTGGGCCCTGTAACTGCACAAACCACTGCAGGAAGAGCTGCTGCTCCTGCCACTTTGTATGGAGGAGAGCAAGCCAGCTCAATAATTGATATCCTGTGGGGCTGATCGCGTTCCTGGACACCCGAGACAGGCGGCTTGGCTGCTTCAGATGGCTGGCATCCTTCACTTCTCTCAGTGAGTTTAGCCAGAAGGAATCTCATCTTGGGAAAGAAAGACTTTTCCACTGGTTGATTGAAGAGTTAAACTAGTTGTACTCTTTAGGCATGAGTTACCAAGTCTGAGACTGTTATCTTGTCACTAGCTGATTTTCAAAGATGTTATCTTCCAAATATCTTTACATTAAAGGAGGAAAACTACAGAACCGAATTGTTAGGCAAATATCTTGCCTCAAAACACAGGCCTGTGAGAGAGGTGGATAATGAGGAAGAATTTTCTGTGTTGGTGGTTGTTCCCTGTAGTACACCCTCATGAGCTGGCTCCAAGATCAAGTTGCATATTCTCTGAATTGGCAAATTATATTCTCAACTGGTTATCAAATATTTCACTGCCACTGGTGTTCCTAGTCTTGGATGCAGTGCAGAATTTCCATTAAATACATACTAGGTAAATTAGTGGAGATTGGGGGATTGTTTTTTTAGTGGGATGGGACCCATTGTCATGTTTCTTCACAGCACCTGAAATTATAACTTTTTTTGTGACTGACGTAGAAATGCATGAAATGTGAAGTTTTCCACTCCTTCTATTCTGGTTCTTTGGTGAAATGTTTGAATTCTAAACACAGGTATTTATGAAGTGAATTAAACCAATGTAAATTCAGTCACATCACAGAGCCATTTATAGTGCAAGTGAAGGCTTGTATGCTCTTCTCTCATGTTCAGCAAGCTCTACTTTGCATTTTAGTAAACTATTTCTAATTCTGTGATAGCAGAGGGACAGCTGAATAGTTTGCTGCTGTTCAGAGCAGGGACTGTCCATCTATCCATGCTCCTAAAACAGAGACATTTGCAGCCTTCACTACTGACCACAGTGCAAACTGATTGTTAGCAAGAGTTAACAACTAATAAATAACCACATAATTCTATTATTAAACCAGTTGTATCCAATAGAGGGGCTCTTCAAGTTAGAAGGCAGTTTTTGTCATCTATTTGTTGTTTATAGTTTTCTGTATTCATTTATTGAATACTTTTGGCATATGCCTTATTGTTTTGATTTAATTTTGTTTCTTGTCTGGTCATTCCACATTGGAGAAATATCTCAGTAACCTGCTTTCTTTTTTTCCTCCTGAACTATCATATTACCAATACCTTTCTTTTTACTGATAGGCCTGTYCTTGGAATATTTCTGTTATTTTATGGTGTATATTGCTTTCTGACTCAAAAGTAGATGACACCCAAACAACATCTTTCATGTTTCTYTGTCAGATCTGAGTTTCCTTCCAAAAGGTCGAAAAATAATTCTTAGCAGTTATTTTTAATATTTCTGTAGTACAATTACATATTTTGTTTTTTTAACAGGATTGCACGTTCTTCACTCGGAAGGAAATCCTTCGGTAAGTAAATTGTTTTAAATTTCTCCTTAGTGATCCATGTGGAAGGGGCTAAATCTTTTTATCTGATTGTGAGGAAACCAGATAAAGCCAGTTATTCTGCAGGAATGAATGAGGACAGAATTTGACGTAAGATACGCTTATAATGCGTAATTGTCATAAGGAGACTGATGGTGATTCRCTTAAGCTGAATATCTTAGACTTTTTAGGGTTGAGCCAGTGACTTGTACAAAAGGGATTGGCTGCTCTTCTGCTTGGTGGTACCAGTGAGGGCACTTCCTGCAGTCAGTGTAGAATCCAGAGCTGTTTCTACATATCTGAAGTAAAGTTTTACTGTGCAGGAATAAAATAGGTTCTAACCCTCTGGTTAATTAGCACTTACAGATTTTACATCTCCTTGTCTCAGAGAAGGGGCATCTGAATACTGCTGGGCACTTATTTATGCACTGCAGGATGCTCACAGGGGTCGTGGAGGAAGTGCTGGTCCAGTTCTCCTTAGGCTGAACTGAATTTCTTGTGCAGCTGCCAAGTTCAGTGAGATGATCCAGCAAGGGGCAACCTGACAAAAAGAAAAAAAAAAAAAGGCAAGCCCTGTCTGGCTCAGCATCCATTTCCATGACTGTTAATGAGGAAGAGGTGCTGTTGTGGAGGTGGGGATGAAGGGATTAATATGGCAGCTTCAATTTAGATTCATGTAAACCAGCATGAGATGGCAATTAGGTGAAATGGGCTAAGTGTTTTTATCTGTCCCTACAGGGAAAGTAGCCTATCAAAACCCAAAACAACAGTAAATCTATTTTCTGCTAGTTTAATAAGCTGAATCAGCYCTCTGAGGGATCAGATGAGTGCCAAAGCTGGCACAAGAACCAGAGCGGGTGAATGCAACTGAAAATGAGGAGAGGAGAGCGAGACAGCATCCCCTACCAATAAGGTGTTTGACTTCCACACTTGCTTCAGTGTGCAAAGATTTGGTGGCAGCATCAAAGTCCATAAATGCATAAATGCAGGCTGTGGCCAGGGGGGTTGAGGACACTTTCTTTTGATTAGTAATCTGAGTGTGGATAAGTTGCAAACTATTAGAAACCAATAGAATTTTTAAAGTGAAGAGAAAAATAACACACGACGCTGAAAATGGATCTAGGAAAAAATATGAAGTAAGACTGTAGCTTAGGCAAATGTRTCTGATGAAAGAGAAAAATAGAAACCATAGCTCACTGTTGGTGTGATGGCTGTTTATCACCAGAAAACCTAAATGTGATCCTAAATCTTTGTTAAAGATGGTTAATTTTGGGAAGTGCTGATCACAGCTCATAGCATTCACTCATGGGCCCAGGGCAAGAACGTGGTAAAGAATGTTGAATATTGTAGATATATTTGTTACCACTGACTCAAAACTTTGTCTAAAATACCCATAGGACAGTTGACAAATTTTTTGAGGTGTTAGTGATTGTTTTGGTGGTGTTAGGGCTTTGAAAACATGCCCGAGTTTTCTGAAGGAGAATGTGGAAATGAGACCAGTGTAGCTTCAGGACACAACTTCGCTGCATGGAAAGATGCCAGAACACGCTGGTAGACAATCAGTCTGTAAGTGCCCAGAACTTAATACATGCTCAGAGGCAGCCACTGTGGATTTGTTAAAAGCAAATCTTCCTGTGAGTGTCTGCCTTTGTAAGTCACAGAAAAGAAGAAGCTGCAACATATCTTAATTTTGGTAAAGGCTTTTACATATTCCAGTTCTTTTCTACTTGTGTAAGTGCACTGACCTCTTGGTCAAGGTACTCCTGAACATGGAAAATTGGTGAGAGTGGTAAGAAACACTGAGGTGAAGAGAACTGCAGATGCTGTGAAGATCAAGATTAGCTTTTCCAGCAATACTCGGTATGTTAGAGAAATTACTAGAGCCAAAGTGAGCAAAAGGAAACTCACACACATCCTAAGAACTGAGAAAAATTTGCGAATGCARTGTATCAGAAAAAATGGGTCATGGGGTTAATGATCTAAACAAAGTGAGCRTAATTTTAACAACACCACTGTCGCAATGCTCTTGCAAAAAAGGGAAATGAATTTTTACAATGTGTTAGCCTCAGCAGTGTTTATAAAATGTGAGCATTCCAGTCAGCAGTGTTGGGATCTCAGTGGGAATAGACTGTCCAGTTTTGGGCATCACCATTCAAAAAGATTTGTTATACTGGAAAACGTCTGTTCTGTAGAAAGAGAAATAACAGGAAAAAAAGGATGTGAAGAGAAGTTGGAAAACCACTTTAGTCATAGTAATGAGTCTGTTTGTATAACGTGCCTCTCTTGTGATTATAAATGGGAACAAATGGTTGAGTTGCCTCTTATAAGGCATTATTTCTCTTACTTGGTTTTGCAAATCTGATTTTCTTGCAGACAAGCTTTTACTCCAGCAATGACGGTTATCTGCTTGCCAGCCCATCTGTTTCTGCTTCTCCCTGTAGACTGGTACAGTTTGGCAAACACCCAGGCACTTGAACACAGGTGTTCTTGGATGTCTGTCCTAGCCAAAAAACAAAAAGCACAAAACTTGTAAATTCAAGTTGTATCACTTGCGACTGACTAAACATAGTTAGACACTGCCAGGCACTAAATGGCCAAACTGGACAATGTCTGGGAAGTCAGCAAACCTTTGAGCCTTTTTGTAGAAGAAAATTAATTCTTCTGTTGCATTCTCTTCTCTGCCTGTTTTTTGGCTTGTTTTTGATGGGTGAAAGGTGGGGTRAGAGGAGCCATTCTAGCCAGTCCAGCTGAATGCTGGATTTTAAAACTGAAATCTGCCAGAGAATGAAGCAGTGGTTTCCTTCAAGTGTTTGGAAAGCCTTCCTTATAAGGGAGCAAATGCTTGGGATGCAGCTCCCTGTGGAGCAAATTGCTAAACAAGTGGAGAGAGGGATTAGGGACACTGCTCCTGTTTTTCTTTTAAAGAGTTTGAATTTTTGTGTGCAGAAAGGGGGAATTCCCCTATTGTCAGCTTTGGGGGAAAAAATGTCAGCCGAAAGAATAAAGTTGGGGGGAACTCTGTACCCTTGGGAATTTTCCTGGGCTTTAGAGAAGAAATGGCATACATGAAGAACATACATCCTGAAGCAGCTATTTTTTTTTTGTTGTTAATTACACTATTATTCTTATTGATAAAAACATTTCTGTATCCTCTACGATTAAAAAAAAGGGGCTTCTAGGCAGTTCCTGCATTTCTGTACCACAAACTTTTCCTATATTATATTTTAGTCAGAGCACTGGAACAGGCTGCCCAGAGAGGCTGTGGAATCTCTATCCTTGGAGATATTTTAAAGCTATCTGGATGTGGTCCTGGGCAGCTTGCTTCAGGGTGCACTCGCACACCAGATCATCTCCAGGAGTTCCTTGCAACCTCAGTCATTCTGGGATTCTTTAAATCACCAGCAGAAAAGAGGCCTGTGAGCAGGGGTTTGAGTGGTGCTTCAAGAAAGRAAAAACATCAAAAACTGCTTGTGTCTATACTTAAAATGCATCATGTAGTTCTGGGAACAGCAGAGTACATGTATTCAAAGTCAAAACCTTCYTAACTATGACCAGATTTAGAAGAAATGTATTATAAATTGTCTGCCAGAAACATTTCTTGCTATTCCTTTTTAATTTTACAGCAGATGATTTGGGCGGATATTTATCTAGTATTCTCTTGAATTAATTTRTGCTGCTTCATTTTGTACTGCAGAGATGAATAAATACATGTTAACTAAAAACTAGCAGAAGACACATCTATCTACTTTTTCTCAYGCTATTATGCTGCCTTTTTATAAATCTGATTTCTGTAACCAGTTATTGCCTTTTATTGATATGATGAAAATAACTTCAACTTGAAAAATAAAAGGGATGAGGCATATCAGTGACAGAATTCCTTCACATTTCAACTTTTCCTGTTTGTGATTGCCACTGTTCTTTATTTTTTATCTGTTGAGCTGTAGCAGTTTAGTGAGTGGGGTTTCAGTTTCTATCTGAATTTCCTTACATCAAGTCTCCTGATGTTTTGGTTTCAGCTTCACATGGTAGACCCYCTTCTCTAATAGACTGTTCTAACCTCTTGCAATCCTTGGAAGCAGTAATTCASTGAGGAATTGGTGCAGCAGAGAGATTTATGCCTGAGTTACCATGTGCAACATTTAACATTTGTTGTTGCRAAAACAGTTTGTGCAAGTATGGCATAAATCTGAGACCCTGAAAATAAATTCTTTATCAGTTGCTGGCAGCCTCGAAGGCCCCTCCTTCCTGAGTTGCTCAGCCCCAGATTAATGGACCTCCTTCTCTTTGAGCTCTAGCAGCTTTTTCTCCCTGTGTGGCAGACTTGTGGATTTTGGTCTATTCCCAGCTGTCCATTAAAGCACTGCAGGACAGGAGAGCATGTGCAGTTCACTGATTTGCATCGGTACAGGGCTGCAGCCTCTGTAGCRAGGGTTGTAGATCAATTCCCATCAGTGCATTCTGTCCTGCAGTCCGTGCAATTCCATCTTCAAAGCTGTTGCTTCTTTTACTTCCAGCCATCTCATCTCCAGGTGCTTGGAAGGGCTGAGCAATCAGCTCTTTCTGTTTCCAGKGCTGTGGGTTGRCTTGTCATTTCTCCTGCTGGTCTCTGGATTGGTGAATTCTCTCCGTGTATAACAGMAAGTCCTKCTCCAGCTTTTTTGTTCAGCTCTGGCATCTGGGCAGAGCCTCTAGCTTTGATAGTGGTGAATAACCAAAAATGCATCTGAACAGCAGCTGAGCACTTCTGGTCCTGCTGCTGGCTGAGGTTGTTCCATCCTGTACAAGCAGTGTGTGGTCAGGTGATGGCAGGGCTCCTGTGACCCCCTGTGGGACTGTCCACAGCACTCACTGCCTGGTTTCATTGCTCTGCTTAAGCCATTTGCTATTTCTTTAATGAACATGCAGAGCAATGCAGTGCAATCTAGCTTTTACTCCTTGAGATGGGCTTGATTGTAATGTACAAGTCTTTKAATGCATCCCTTTCATTTAGGAATAAATAGAATATATATTGCTGAATAAAAAATGTTTTCCCCTTACAGCATAAATCAAGTGACTGTTGCTGTGAATGCGGGAGGAGAATTTGGGAGGTGTTTATTAATTTCTAAATGCACTTTAAAGCCTCTACTTATTTCTAATCAATGAGCCATTGCAAGCTTTTATCTTTTGTTTTCAGTGCTCCTTCAGTGCAGAGTTCCTGTTCAAATGGCAGCCCAGCCTCCTGTAATGTGTTGTCACTACATTTAATGGTGGAGATGTACAGCAAGCCAAGGAAGAGCTGTTGTGTTTTAACACACCCACTGGTGACCTTGGTAGAGACTCCCTCCCAAAGCTCAATGGTGAATTTAAATGGTTGCTGCAGGGTGTAAGCTTAGAAATTTCTTTCTTCAGGACTACTCAGGTAGAGCTGGAGGCTCTATTTTAAGTTTAGAGCCATCCCAARCTGTCCAGCAAATACCCACAAAATTTAACTCATGCTGACTTCAGGGTTCTTCATCCTTGAGAACTGAGAACAGACTCTGACCCCCCTTTTTTGCCTTGTAAAATACCCCAAGTGGCAGAACAAAAGTTAGCATCAATCAAAAGTCAACTGTAGAGACAAAACTGTATTGAGGGACTTTTTCTGAACACAGCCTTTTTGTTTTCATYGGCTGATAAGCAGGTGAGCTGATTTTAAAATTACTGCTGTCTACAGGGGTAAGTTTTCTTCTGCATTTAATGATTCATTTAATAGAAAAATTAAACCCCCATTTTTTTGCACTGGTGTTGCAGTTGCTTCAGATACCTCAAGGAGYTGACTGTGAAAACCTCTATATTTTCAAACTTCAGTTCCCTGAACCTCACTATACATTCCTAATGTGTAAGTGTTAATACGTGTTAGTGTTAATGCTTATGCAAGGGACATGAGTGGGTGGTGGGCTCCAAATTTCTGCAAGGSCATATCAGCAATCTGGGTTTACACTGGATTAAAGTGATACAGAATCACAGCCTAAATCCTTGAATGTTGTACATGAAGCTTAAACATGTACCAGTACTTGTGGAGACAGAGCATCATCGGTGAATGAAATTTGCCATTAAATTTATCAGTACATTCCCTCCCACTCTCATTTGTGGAACAGAAGACACTGCCAGTTTTTCCTCTCCTACTTCCATGCGAAGTAATTGAGGAAKCCTGGTGCAAAAGTGAGTACATCCAGGAATGAGAAAATGCTTCTGCATCCAGAAGAGTCTTTTAAAGCAAATGCAAATGCAGGATCTGTGGTAGTCACTACTGCAGAGAGACTGAGGCTGGTCTTGAGCTTCTGAATATGCCTGATGGGCTCTGTGTGATAATGGCACCTTTTCCAAATCTGTGTGTGTTCAGAAAGCACTGCCAAACCTTGCTTTGCCTCTGTAACAAGGCATAAATGTTTCTGTATCTAGGGCAGATAGMGAAAGCAGATTTAGGTTGTTTTCAGATATGCTTCTGGCATGTTGAGTAAAAGGACAAAAAGCTTCTCCTCTAGGTCACAGCTGCTCTTATATGTTCAGGTCACCTGAAGAGCCTTCTGCTTCTACAAAAACAGGAGAAATGTTAGAGCCTGCAGCAGAGTTTTGTTTCTTCTCTATTTGCAGTTAGTAACTAATGTTACTGAGAGATGTGAGAGAACAGTCAGTGATGAGAGCAGCATTTGGGAAGTGATTACTGRGTCTGACTCACAGGATTTGTCATAGTGCACAACACTACAAGGTGTAGTGAGCTATTGCATAAAGACAGGAGGATGATGGGTGTAAATAACCCCGGTGTCTACTGAGCTTTACATCGTGTTACAGAGTAATTGATCAGACATGCATTGTTTCCTGCCACAAAGTAAGTACTCACCCAATGTAACRGAAGTTACTCAACTAACTTCTGGCTTTTCAACCTGGTTTCTACAAAATCCAGTATTTAATAGACTGTCAATCCAGTTTATGACAAAACAATGCATAATGTCCCTGAAGTACCTCCCACCATAAAGACATTCCAGTGGGAAAAGGSTTAGGTTTTTTGGTTGGTTTTTTATTATAAAGGATGGGGTTTTTATTATAAAAGATAATGGAGCAAGTGCAATTTATTGTGTGTGGGGTGTAGGGAAATCTTRTGGCCCTTTTCACTGTCATAAATGCTAATCACGCCATGTGATAGGACTGTTACAAATAGAGTTGCAAGATTCTTGCAGATAAAAGCTTGTGGAAGATGTATTTTATTGCTGTAATTTACTTTGCTGGTGATAGATCAGAGCCACTTCCTACAGACTCATTTGGATGCTTTAGTGTGAAATCCACTCAGATGGAAAGCTCTTACATCCACAGATCTTTGACCAATTTGGTGAATTAATGGCAGAGTTAATTGGGAGGAAAACAGGATATGAGAGCTGCTCTCAAATCTRCAGTTAATTACCTACACGTTTGTGTGCAGCACCTGCCTTCTGGAGAATTCTAGYAGAGATTGGTCTAGAGTTGGAAAACAGATCCTTCTTTCAGCTACTAAAGGGTATGGCTGAACTTCAGTATCAACAGATGGTAATTTCTGTGGACAAAATGGGGAATTCTTTCAGCAAGAAATGATAGGTTTACTTTGCACTGCTTGCATATTATAAAGAGACRAGTCTAATATTAGAGAAAGCAGAGAAGCAAATCTTGGCACTTAAAATAAGCAGGGATTTTCAGCTCCTGAATTTTGAAGCGTTACCCACAGTGGTCAAGTTGTGCCAATGATGAGTGCTTCATTTTCTTGAAACTAGAACACMATTTCTGTATTCTGTCTTTTAAAAAAGAAGGTAATCCTTAGATGGATATTTGGCTTGAAWGGTTTGCTTTCTTTCAAGTGCTTTTAAGCTGCTTTTTCTGTTGTATTTAGAGGCATCTTTGTAAGTGCTGTTCACAATGGAGAAATCAGTTGCTGAGGAGGGAAATGGCTATTGCATCTTGAATTACACAGTATTTATGAAATGTCAGGGTGAGTTGTGGTGAGAGCTGAAATGTGCTTAGGTCAGTGAATATCCAATTTCCGGTATGGCACAAAATATTGCAGTGCAGTGGGAAGACATCAGTTTCCTAAGACGCAGAAAAAAAAATGTATCTGTTATYTTCRTTTCATGTGTTCTTTATGGCACATCATAATCGTCAGAAAACAGATGCTTGTAAATGATTTTCTCCTAGTTTTTCAGTTGGTTTCCGCACAAGATTCTGAAGTAGCTCAGTTGGGTGTGGGGCTGACTGAGGGGCTGTTGCAGGTAAAGCTGGGGAGATGAAGGGTTTGCTGAGGCATTGCTTCCTCTATTACTGCCTTGTTTATGTTCTGCTGTACAAAACAAGATAATCTCTATATGTAATTGTTAGTATTCCTAGTGAGCAGGCAGGATTTTTCCTTAAAAGGAAAATAAGTCTAAAAATACAGCTTTTTTTATGTAGACAAGTGGTACATGTRACCTACTGAGAGCTCAGAATGCTGTGTTAGTGACCCCTTTGTCATTGTCTCTTGTATTTTCTGCCCTAATGAGTTTATGAATCAGATGCAAGCCTAAACTTGCACGTGTGATAAGWATTGCATTTTGTAGTACACGCCTTGGTTTAGGCCTTGTGTGCACATACCTGGGCAGTGGCTAAATGTTACAGACACACAGTGTGAAGCATTGCTCAGTTACACACCTCGATTAATGCATGGGGGCTGGTAGCAGTTATGCCTGGATACTGCATCCAAACCCCAGTTTTCCCAAAAAGATGGGAMTTTGGTGGGCTCAGACTTGTGCACTAAAAGCAATGAGCAGAACTGTGTCTGATTACTCTCTGAATGGATTTGGTTATTTAAAATTGGYCATGGCTGTTTGTCTCTGCTTGTTTACAGGTTGCACGGCCGATACTATGAAATGGCACCAAACGTTGTTCCCATGGACTATACAAAGGACCCAGATGTTAAACTACCTATGCAGCTTATAATAAACATGCCTGAGCTAAAGGTATSACTTCTGACTGCTTTCCAACTGTATCTTAACTTCTGTAGCTCATCTGCCAGAATTTTTGCCAAGTTTGATATCCAGAAGCACTGTGGCATGCTGAGCTCTTCCCTTTCCTGCTACTGTTCAAGGGCAAAACCAGCCCCAAAAATTGGAAAATATTTAGGTGAATGTCTTTCTTGCAGAGACTGTTGGGTAGATGTTAAAGGAAATTAATAGGAAATAAAAATTCATATAAATGGAAACATTAAACACATACGAGCATTTAATTCAATAGAAGACTTGGAAAAAAATTAATCCTTCAGTTATTTTTCAGCCTCCAATTTAGCAGAAGCCTATGGACAGCTTGTATTTCTGAAGAGACTGMGAAACAATTTAGAATTCTTTTTCTGCAAGCATGGGCTTCTTCAGCAAAACATGTTTATGCTTTTTCTGATGGCATCAGTGTTCCTTAGGGTTTATGTCATCATCTCTGGGATCTTGATAGCACAATCTGAAATCTTTAGGCACAGTTCTGTGACTCCTCAGAGGTTAACTGCCAGATAGCTGAGAGTTGCTTTGTGACAAATCAAGGCTGAGTTTAGAAAAGAATGCGAGAAATTACAATCTCACAGAGTTTTTTTGGCTTCARTGATACAGAATTGAACACTTAAAGAACAGCTCATTCTATGAGAATGTTAGAGATGGAAGGCCTGGTAGTTAAGCTGACATGCAAACCAGAAATTTTATATTGGATCATGCTGAGATTGAGATGTAGGAGCATCTCTTGTCAGTTTAGCAAACTTAGGTGGTAATGGTAGACTTCCGAAGAGACTTTCACTTGTGAAGTGGATCACAATGTATCTTCTTGCACCACAGGTCTCTGAGGCTTTCTGACCCTACTTTAGAAGATGTCTCCAGGGTAATGGAACTTGACTTTATGAAAATAACAGGACAAATTCAGTGCTCAATTTTATCAAATTCTCTCTCAGGTCTTATAAATCTGTGGAATAACCTTAGAAATAGTGATGTCAAACCACTTATTTCAGGAATTCTAGGAGCTYACAGAGAAAAGTGCTTTCAACAGCTATTGAGCTTGTTTCCAGTAAAATAACTGTAAGAAGAGACTATGTCTTATTCCATAATTCTTTCAAAGCATTGACACTAAAAGCTATTAATGCATGGGATCTTTTTTATAAACTGGGGCCCATCTTTATTGTGAAACATCTTGTGGTCACCTGTGCAGATGGGTGTGAGGGGGAGAGAGTCTTTCCCCAAGAGTTCCATTTTGAAGCAACCTAGGTACTGAGTCCAGCTCAAACACTCAGAAAAAAATCTTTAACCTTTGCAACTTGACCAGACTGTCTAACAAATCATTATGGTGTTTATTTTCTTCGGTAAATTTTCATCAAGGTGAAGACAAAGCCAACATTTACATCTTAAAATAGAAATAAATGGCCTAAATGTCTATTGAATTCTAATAAAATTAGTGCTAATTTCAATGCACCTGGCTTTTTTCATATACACATTACATTTGTAGTTACTGGCAATGTTGAGCTCAATACCACTGCAAGTTCTGACAAACGGATAGAATCAATAATGCACTTTTCTAAATTAGATTCTGCTACAATAAAGAAAGATCTTTACCTCACGCATTAATGTTTTGAGCCAGGATTTTTGTGTTTCAAGGAAAAAAGTGCTGGTGGTCACTCACTCTAATTGGTAATGAATTATTCACTCACTTCTGGTTCTTAAAAGTTGAAAGTCAGGACAAGAAATAAATAAATAAAGAAGGGGAGAGAAAGTACTTTAAGTTGATTAGGTCTACCATTACACTGAGGTGAACAGAGCTACTTTACTCCATCAGTTTTATTGCAGTGTCTGTTCTCTAATTTTGACAATCTTTGTTACAAAGGCACCAGTCTAATAAATTAACTTTGGGGCATCTGGACACCTGTGAGATTGCAGTAATTAATATTGCAAAACTGTAGCCATGATATGGACTGTTCAGTATGGGACCAGGGAGAAAGCAAAAGTGATCTTTTTCAAATTAAAATTGATTTCACTCCCATTATCCCGTCTTTGCCACAGAGCTGCATGTGGGAATGTAACCTGGTGACAGAGAGCCCTGTGGTTGGTAGCAGGTTGGGATGTGGGTCCCTATCCACATCCCAAAGTCTCTGGCTCTTCCCCTGCAGTGTGAGCTCTCTGTGGGTATTGCAATGCAGAGCAATCCTTCTCTCAGGAGTTGGTCAGCAAAGGGCTCCTGGAGGGAACCATTTTTGTTTCACTCACTCTATGATCTGTTGTTTTCTGGGTTTTGGCTCATGCAGGAACTTCATTGATCCTCACAGGCCTTGTCATTAGCTGCAGTGGGGAGTGAGGTAGYTCATAAATCCACTGCTGAAACAGGAAGGGCAGCAGGCACAGGAATCACTCAGGAGGCAGGAAGGACACAGAGGGAACAGCAAATCTAGTGCACATTGCAGAAACAATGGTAGCACCCTGTTTGTTAATAAGTTTAAACATCAGTATATGTGAGTTGCTTCAAAATAAAAATTCTTTCTACTGTGTTAATAGGGTGAGATTTTAGAAGTGATTTCARTGAGTTTTCAGGTTCAAAGCTTTCTATATGTAATGGGCAAAAATCACCTGAGAGAGCWGGGTGATGCTCTTCCCAAGCCCCAGCCCTGCTTCCAGCTCATCTCAACATCCTTGTCTGCATTCTGTTACTTGTTTCTGGTTATGATGGGATGTTTCATTCCCTTCAGACCACTGTCCTTGCTTCTCTGAAATCCCTTTTTATCTGAGAGTCTCAAGTGTGTGTGCTCCCCTCTAGTTTTAGTACAGAAAAAGCCTTTTAACATGGCAAGTTTCTAGTTTTAAAAGGATTCTTTTTTTCAACAATTAGTTCTTGAGGGAAAGCAATCTAGGAAAGAACAGTATCATTTTCCCCTTTATTCCCTTCCCCCATGGCTCTTCCTTTAAATATGATGGAACCCTAATCTGTGCTCTTTAGAGTAGAGGTAATGAAATTACAGAAAGGATGTGAAAAGTATCTGTGAAGGTAAGCTAATACTTTCCATTGTGTAAGCCACAGATATACTGCCTGAAGACACATAATATGAGAAAGTTAAAGGAAAGAAATCAATATGAGGAAAGATTTTATTTTTCATTTTGGTTTTAGAGATCCATTTGGCTAAGAATTACTTAAGTATGCTTAGGTCCATTTAATTCATTCTTAATTCATCTGTATTTTCAAGACCTCTGACATGCCAAATAAATAACTCATCCTATGCCACTGCAATATGCTTAGTGAGTCAGTGAGATCCTGCCTTARCCTTTCTCATGCCCAAAGTCCCAGGTTTGATATTCACTGCTGATAGGGATATTTGCATCTGTGTGCTCCTGGTTTGTTACCCAATGCTGCCTCTAAGATGTCAGTTTACTACTGTTACCATGACACTTAGTTCTGATCAGGTTTGTTCCAGAGAAAATGAGACAGCATTTTAGAAATGAAAAATAAATTTCTAATGTGTTTTTGATGTCCATTCTGATGTTTGGCATTCTCAAATATTAAACATTTAACACATACATCATTTTTGGTGTGCTTTTAGGAAGAAAGTGGGCCTTTTGATATATTTCAGCCCAAATGAATCTTATTGAACTTATTTACAAACTGGCAGTTTGAAATAATAGAACCAATTGTTCTTCCTTGCGGGTTTTGTATGTGTATCCCACAAACAGGTAAATGTATATGCCACAAACATTTCCAGGCACATTTCCAGGCATTTAAGTGAGGTACTTTAACCTGAGCAGTACCCACAGATGCACACCTGCTGTACCTACACATCATTCATGAGACATGAGTGATTAGTTCATATCCTTTTACAATGAGGTTCTCTCAGCCATCTGCCTGGTTCTGGGGTGTTGTTTTTCATTCTGAGACCCTGGAGAKATGTGACCCTGCTGCTTTGTGAGGCAGCTATCTTTTTGTTTTCAGGAATCCTTCTTTTCTATTCTATTTAATTTTGTTTTATCTGGCCTGGTTTTGTCTTCATCTGAACAGTGAACTCATTAATCTCCTACCCTTTGAAATCTGTAGGCCTGTTTCCTATGGTGGAATTTCTTCAGACATCAAATCTTGCAGGAAAATTTTTGTTTAGTATTGACTACTTTAATTGGTTTCATTTGAGCTCTGTGGTCTCTACTTCACCTGCCCATTAAAACAGTCTTGTTCCTATTCCTTGTTTTTATTTTTTTAGTCTTCACAGTTATGTCAAAAATATGTTCTGTAGATGCTTTTGTTCTAKGTGTGAATTATCAAGAAAGAATTCAAGTAAACTAAAAAATAGCATTTTCTGGTCGCTCATCTGTCAAACATAGCTGTTATTTGAAATTTCATTTTAAATAATTGTATGGTTTATAAATACCTGTAGGTAATTAAACTTACAGCGAAAAAAAAAATTAAATTCATATATAATTGAGCTTCTGAGCTTTCACAATATAGCTTCTTCTAAAACGAAACAAAATGCTGCATGCATATTAAAAACAATGACCTTAATGTGGCGCCACCACACTGTTTACATTTATAGATCAATATGTTAATCAGTGTATTGGCTGCAGATAAGATCTGTAGAACAGCTTTGATGAGATTCTGCTCATATCCAACATACTGTTCATATTCAACAGAATTGAATTGATTTGCCAAGTTTTACACAGCTATGAGTTGCTGTTGGGGTTTTAGATAGCTGTGAGAAGGATGTTGGAGTTTTACTATAAAAACACTTGTTCTGTGTTTCAGAGAAATAAAGCAGCTTTTCTTATGYTTGCTTGTGTGATTATGGTTTTAGAACATTGTCATATTCTAGGGTGCTAATAATGATCTCCCACAGGCTGGACATTGACGTGTATCASAGTGAAAATAAAGGCCAGAAGTGGTGCTACTGAGCAGCAAAGACTTCTGAAACTTCCTGCTAAAGCACACAAATGTAGATTTTTGGATGCATTTTTGGAGGAAAAAAAAAAGARAAAATTGTCTTCAAAGAACCAACCATGAAATTTAATGTTCATTATCAGAGAGTATGCAGTTTTTTTAATCTTTCAAMTACCAATCTATATATGTCTTTYACAGGAAAATCCCTTCAAAGAAAGGATTGTGGAGTCTTTCTCAGAAGATGGAGAGGGGAGCCTGAGCTTCAATGACTTTGTGGATATGTTCTCTGTGCTCAGTGAAATGGCTCCCCGAGAGCTGAAAGCGATCTATGCCTTTAAGATCTATGGTACTRTATGGGAGTGCTCTGGGGTGCTTTTTATGTTTGGAGTCAACAGTGGGACACTTGGTGACCATTGGTTCTTCCCTTSTTTAGATTTTAACACAGATAACTTCATTTGTAAAGCAGACTTGGAAAAAACCCTCAACAAGCTGACCCGGGAAGAGCTGACAGCAGAAGAAATCACCCTGGTTTGTGAGAAAGTGATAGAGGAGGCTGACATGGATGGTGATGGSAAATTAGGATATGCAGATTTTGAAAACATGATTTCCAAGGCACCGGACTTTCTCAGGTATTATTTTAAGAAAAAGAGATTTTCTTCCATACTTCCAGATTTTTTTTTAGGATATCTCTGTGCAGTGTAACACAAGCAATGTGAGACAATAMGTATTTTACTAGAGAGCTGACTAGAGGATGAGTTCTTACCTAGATCAGTTTACTTTTCTAGGGCATATCCCAGTTCTCTCCTAATTTAAGACTAAAAGCTCAATGACTTTTAATTATCACCTTCCCTGCCCCTCCACCCCTGTTGGTGTGGGTTCAGGAAAACATTTTGTTCTATTATCAGCTCAAATTAATATTTTTCTTAAGCCTATAGCAAGGATCACTGCTATCTGCATAGGAATGTGGGTAAATATTGTATACATGTGATAATATACATGGAAACRGATTGATCTTTTTGCTGATGAAATCAGAATGTTTTTTGAAGGACCTGTGTCTTGCAGAATATAGAACAGTTTATTTCTTTCCTGAATGAAATTTCCGAGGAAAGATGTTACAGCGAGTCTACAATAAAGCAGGAGCACATGATTCCTGTGAACCTTGAGAAACATCAGCTTCTGGAGRGGAGACACTCAAAGTTAATGTGAATGCCTTTTATACATTTCAAGTATTCCTTGACTAATCAAGTGTATCAACAGAAACCCTTTTAGAACAAGATACATATCATCATTATGATGAGGCTCAGCTCAGTAGGTATTCTAGTATTTTGTTTACAGATRTTTCCAGCTAAGAAAACATTTTCTTTACACTGCTGTCCATGTAGAAGCTGCTGGGGTCAGGTAGGGTTTCCTTTAATCAATCAAAAGGCTGTGCTGCACCTACAAATCCGGCAGAGAGCAATGATCAAATGTGAAGAATTGAAGGCAGATCTGAAGATTCAGCAGAAGCTGCAGTTTCAGAARTTTCCTGTGCCATGACTGACTTTACTGCTGTGTTGTGGAGGCTTGCAAACTGCTGACTGAGAGTTCCAGGCTGAGGATGCTGTGCAGTCCAGTCATTTCCTGAGAAAGCTGCAGAGAGGAATGTTTGCCAGTGCAGCCGTTGGATTGACTGTCACAATTATTYTTCTTTTCCAGTTTTATGATGTTTTGGGAAGATGAGGAAATTATGAAAATCACTGAGTGCTGGATATTCAGCAGAGCAAGATGATGAGTAAAAAGAGGGATGAAGTRAGAAGTGAAGTATTACAGAATATTTAAAGCAGATGCTTTGCATCCCTGGCTTCAAGAGAAATTGTAACTTCCCTTTCCTTTCAGGTTCAGGAGTTTATCTGGGTCATGGGATTCATCTCTGAAGTTCTCAGGCCTAAAAGCTCTTGATGACATAAAAAAGGATCTCCTTCCACCTCCTAACCAAAACACTGGTTTAGAGCCTCTGACGAGGCAGTTTCTATACAAATAGCAGCTTCTATGGCGATAATAGTACAAAGAAAATAATTTCTTAGCCGGAAAAATATGTAAAGAAAATATTAGACTCTGAAGAATCTGATGTTTCTCATGGTTCATCAACATGTCTTTAAAGCTATGTTGAAAAATGAGAGTGTAGTGGAAAAAAGTCTCTGAGTTGAGAAGAGAATGTGTTGGTTCTCTAGTTTGGTTTCTGTTTCAACCAGAGTCAACAGTTGCAGGGAAAAAAAGTAACAGGGTTACGAGACCACTTTTATCCAAACCAATCTGTATGGAAGATTTGATACCTGTGCTTTACTGTGGTTTACTGTTCATTTTACCTGTAATGGTMTTTTATGTTTTTAGGACATTGTTAGTACTATTTTTCCTGTATGCACTGCATCACTGATTGACATATTTGTAACACTGAACTTCCTGTTCTGAGGAACTTATTCTGATTTTTAAAATACTACATAAATGTTGCATTCTAAAGAGAGAGAGAGTTATTTGACTTCTGGAATGGGATTCATTGAAGTTTAATGCCACGATAGGTACACCAAAGTCTGACTGGGGACTGAACCTAAACAAGCACTCTCTGGCAGCAGCCAGTGCCTGCCAGCACATGACAGACTGTGAGACATGGAACAAGAGTGCAATTCCTGTCGCTGATCTCTTACCCCTCAAAAAACCCAGTTCCTGTTCATTAAGTTCAATTGTGCCATAATAGTCTTGGACACATTACCTAGTCATTTACTGAACCAATGCTTTCCTACATCTTTCTGAATGCTCTATTCACAACCTCTCATTTTATTCTCTTCTGAGTCTTCAGCTGTGATGGTTGTCTGAAGTGATGGCCTTGGGCTGTGTGCAGCTGAAGGGCAGGCAGAGCTGTGCAGCTTCRCTGGGTAATCTAATACAGAGCATGCAAAGCACAGGAAGTGTTTTAATAGCAGATCACCAGCCCTATATACCAGTGGTGAACTGAACTAGCTTCTTACTATTGCAAAAAACTATGAAAACATGGTCTCACTGTGTCCATTTGAAATCTTAAGCAGTTAATCTTCCTTAACATGGAGGAAATAGCAACCCATCAATGTCCAGAGACAGTCATATTTTYGTTGGTTGCATATATCTCCACTTTTTGTGCCCAATTGAATGCATTCTGAAATTTAAACTTCAAGGAAGACCATGAGTCTGATGATTTACACTTCAGCTGCTCAGCAGCTGTGAAAGTGGAACACCTAGGAACCAAAGCTATAGCCACATTGAAAATTATTGCTAGTGAGCAATTGGAGGTGGTGGGTAACTGCAGTTTGCAGGGATTTTGCTGTGAAGCCATAGACAGTCAATATTTCTGAATATCTGATCCCAGAATACCATGCTGGCACATAGTATGTGAGGTTTTTGAAAATGCTGAATAACTTACAAGGCCCCTCATGATTTTAATCTGTAATAAAGGATTTCTTACTCTGTTCTTTACCTTTTCACCCCACCAAAAGCCACCTCTCCACATCAGAAAAGGAGGAAATGTAGGATTCCAGGCAGTTTAGTTTTATCACTGGCTCAGCCATTGCTTGAGCAGGTGATCTGTACTGCTCTGTTTTGTGGGACCGGTGCTCATCTGACTTAAACAAACATTGAGAACTTTCATCCAGCTGTAAATTATCATCATCATCATTAACATGAGATTTGAAGTTCCTGAGGAGGAACATCTTTACTCTGTGGAAAACCTTTGAAGGCCCAATTCCTATAGCAATATGCACTCAGGTTTTGAAGCAGTTTTTTACACATTATGGGGTTTTTTAAGCTGTCATATTTTCATGCCTACTTAACATACACAGCAGGCATTAGCTTTGGCACCATGATCCAGGCTTTGACCTGCTATGAGCTGAAGTTCACCCCCTGTACATTGACTGATTTTCCTTATCTCATCACTCCTTTCTCAAACTTTAACTTAATGACCCTGTGTAGGTTTAATCTCCTACAGGAAGGCTTTGCCAGCTTTGTGCTGCTGTCAGGTAAATGAAGATGCAGTAAAGTCTGTTGCTTGATTTGCACTGCTGTCGTTGAGGAATTTTTTCCAGACTAGAAGAAAACACTGTTGATCATTAACCATGGAAGATCTATGCATTTGGCTGTTATCCCAGAAGCTGGACTAAGCTGTAAATGATAATGACAGTTACTAGTTCAGAAAATTTGATCCCAGTAGTTTTATTTCACTCAAAATTGTTATCATTAAGAAGCTGCTTGTAGTTTAATGGAAGCATTGGCAGTTTGAGCTGGCACTAGCTAAGTGTTCTGTTCTACAAGACTGGTTACGTTTTCCACAGGAAATTGTTTTATAAATCATCCTGGAAGTTTCAGCTTATTTGAATGCCTGAGGGTGAAGCATGCTGTAACAATATGTAATGGGGTTTAAGAGGAATAARGCATTAGTAATACCTGGGAGCTGCCAGAACCAGACAGGGAAACAACACATTAAACAAGGTGATGGCATTGGAAATGCAGTGTTTCTGAAACTTTGTTGGGCCTTTGCCCATCCACCAGTTGATGTGATGACTCCAATCCTACCAAATGCTGAAGTAAGGGAMTCTCTCTTGAAGGGAATGTGCACCTCATAAGACTGTCCCAACATGCAGATTAATTAGTTCTTGAGGACTAATAATAGAGCTAGTGACAAATTGGCAACAGTTGCTTAGCAAAGAAACACTGGAAGGGAATCATTTTTGTCAGTATTTTTCACAGAGTATTTCAGCTGCTTCTTAGGAAAAAGCTAAAACTTCAAAGTCCAAAATGACACTCTGATAAAAATAGAATTCTTTTCCCAATAGATAGATTTCCAGTCATGTGGATTTGGATGGATTTTTTTTAGGAGCCATGCTTAAAATGTTTTCACATACAATGTTATGGATTTTGTAGCTCCCAGATATTACCTGTGTGGGAGCTGAATTTTTAAAAGCTTGGATTAATGTAGTCACTAGACATTTCTTGAATTGTGAACAAGATACTTATAATTCTTCTATTGAAAAAACTCTAGTACCAGTAAATTATTTGCATCACTGTCTGCTTTCTCTCATAATACTTAGGCTGGTGTGCCAGGCTGCTACACAGCACMTCTTTTACTGTCACCCAGATTGAATAAATTCCTAGAGACAAAGTTCCTAGGGACCATGGTGGATATGAAATTTTGTCTTCTCCAAATACACATCACGAACTTCCTTTAGTGAATTTCTGATTCAAATCTAATAGCTGTAATTAAGTTAGAGTATTGTTTTGGTAAACCAAAACCCAAAATGCRTGCATCCAGAGCTCTTCAGCCTCTCAAGTGTTCCAAAAAGGCTTTCTTTCAGAGTAGGCAACAAAATTACAGAATTTACATGCAAAAGTATCTAATAATCTCTTCTCATTTCAGTCAGTCAAGAAAGAAGCTTGCAGCTGATACTATTATGAAGTGAACAGGGTTTGCTGTCTCTAGACAGTGAGGTTTGAGCASAAATTCTTTCAATTATCTCTCCCTGTCCTGCTGAGATGCTCGGGAGCTCTTCTGAAGATTCCTGGCAGTATAAGACATGCTGCTTGCCTGTRTTCAGAGCAAATGGAAGATAACAGTCAGGATCTTTGTCCCAACAAGAGAAACAACTTTACCTGCCTAATTTGTCCTGTTTAGAACCCAAATWCTGTGCCATAGCCAAAGTACCACTGGGAAGCATTTAGCTCTGCTCYAAATCAAATAAATTGTGCAGTTTACACTTGATTTAATCCAGTRCTGAGCTTGGTCCCTGAGCCAATATTTTGATGAAATTTTCTACCATAATATTTCAATCTTCTCAAAGCATCAAAGAATAGAGTCCATTTCTTGACACAGCATCTTCCTTTTTGTACTTTAGGAAAATGTTGTGCCTAGTGACAAATGTGTTTATATCTCTTAATCTTTTTCTTTCTTTTGCAGTACTTTCCACATAAGAATCTGAAGATGTTTCTGCCTGTCCAGCCTTTCTGAATCTCAGGCACTCCAGGGGCTTTTTTTTCCTCTAATGAGGGCTTCTTAGAACTCAGCAGAAAGTAYTGAAATAATTCTGGTCCACAAAGAGACAGAAACATCATGTGATCTACAGGTTATTTGGAACAGTCACATTTTTATCTTCACTGCTGGCCAAGCGCTCTGACAAAGATGGTTGGTTGTTGGATTGGGTTTTTCTTTTTTTCTTCCCCTTTTTTTTTAACAGTCAGAAGCAGAATATTATTAAGGGTATTTCCATATAGTTTTTATATTTATGAATATTTAATACTGCTCTTAAAAGTGCAAAAAAAATATTGAGAGGAAGATTAGCTTTGGTATGTTTTCCAAGAATATTTAAAAGAAAGAATGGGCCTTAAATAATGAGATGCCTCTAACACTGTGTTGTACAGCTGGGGATCTTGCATGGAAAATATCTGAGGTGAAAGAACTGCAGTCAACATCAAGCTCCCCATGTTGAAGACGACCACAGCCCAGGTTTGCCTTTCAGCCACTGAAATGGCAACTGCTGGGTTTGGTGCTTACCTTCAACCAATACTTTATGAATTGTTGTGTCCTTATAAAACTTGAAATACTTGCCTTTTCTATRTGAAAACTGCATACGTGATTAATTTCTTCCCAAGATAAACGGTAAAATTGTGTCCTTATTCTCAAAGGGGCTCCTGCATTTTACTCATTCTATGGGCTGATAATGTTGAATGGAGGAACACGGTCATCTGTAACTCATGAAGAAGTTGAAGAAGCACAGAACTACTATTAAGGACATGAAAAGACATTTTCTTTCTAAACAAGCTATGCAATCTCTCCCATAAAATGCATGAATGCAGTTCTATGTTTCTCTTCCCCCTCCAGCTGAAAACCAGCTAGATTTCTTTCTTCTTGTTTTTTTTTTTTTCACTTCCAGTATTGTTTAGGTACTGGGACCTGAAGACAATCATATGTGTATTAACTACTGTTCTAACACTCAATAGAAGGGCTCTGTCACTTACATGGCTTCTGTATCAAAGTCATCACAATTAAAACTTTTGAAGCATTCTGTTGCTTTGAGAATTTTTAAGCTGAGCACATACTAATTTCCTTTATGATCATTATTCCAATTACTATAAAATTAAATCTTTCAAAGGATGAAAYGTGTTATTCTTATTGATAAAGTCATTTAAGTAGAGAACCTAACATTTTTATCATTTCTGTAGGGATGGTGATGCTTATCTACCTCGGAAACTCTTCTCTGTGGTGAGCTTGCAGGGTAGCTTGCTGTTCAGATTTACAAGCTATCAAGAAAGAAGCAATATTTCTCTAGCAGTATGGTTGTATATTAAAAGTTTCAATGGAAATTTTGGATATTCAAGGYGTACAGGACAGACTTGTCTAAGATTGCACAGTGAAAATGAAACCTGTATGTTAGCAATAACATTTATTTTTAATATGTATTTTAGAGTGATCATGTTCAGTGATGGTATAGCATTTAATGCTTCTGTCTACTGATTTCTGTTTAGATAAAGGAATTGAAACCTGAATTCCCTTACCCAAGTTAAAATTAACAGAAATAAATCCTAATATTCAGTTCTAATTGAGTAAACAGAAATTCAACCCTCTTTTTCATTTTGAGCAGATTAAGTTAGATATATTGGCTGATTCAAACTATTTGCAAGACATTGGCTTTAAGAGAGATTCTGTTCAAATTACTTGCTATTAATTGAAGTATCAGCCTAATTTTTTTAATTGATTCCAAGAGAGACATTTAATCTTGGAAGCCTTGTGAGGTGTGTAGGAGGATGTGATTAGGAKGTATTGTAAAATACCAGATTGCAAGATTCTGGATCAGATTGTTTRGACAAAAAGGAACTGATGCTGATGACAGTTCAGTTCCTTTTGACATCAATATTCTTCTATGTTTTAAGATTGCTATTAGCTAAAATTCCTGTTTTCCGACACTGTGTGTCATTCCATGGTTGCATCGTATTCCCCTCTTAAAGGAAGAGCTCAGTTGCCTTGGAATATGCTCAGTGTGTTGTTTTCTTGTATCCTCCCTGACCTAAATGTCACAAAGCAGTTGAAGAGATGTTTGAGCTTGCAGCCAGATGTTTGACCTTGGAGTCATCCATCTGAGCTGAGAAACAAMGAGAAACAGAAATTAGGAGCTGAGCTGTGAAGAAATATTCCTGTCCACGGAGAATAATTCTTGCAGAACACTGCAGATACCAATGTGTGCAGCTGTCCTAACTGCCTTTATTTTTCTGCCTTGTGTTCATGTACTGTAACAAAACTTGGAGAAACATTGTATGTCCCTGGCGTTTGAGAGCGATTGGTGCASTAAATGCTTCATCACGACCTAGTGRTGGGTGAGTTGTTACAGCACCTGATGGCAAAGGTAAGGGATGATTTCTGAAAAGCTTTCTATTTGCACTGTCTTACTTGTGTGTAGTTGGATGTTTTACGACTGAAACTTTTCTCACAACGGGACTGTTGAGTGAGTAGGAGTTCAGTGTGATGCAGATTGAATCCTGACAGGAGGTACCAAACCAGCTGGCTTTGGGCAATTGTGTCACTGGCACAATCTAACAGATTCACTAGCAAGTGTTTCTTCAACCAGCTTTACTCTAAAAAAATATCAGACCACTTTGAAAGAAACTGAAACAGTGAGAGATTCAGATTTAAAACAGTTTTGGATTTGGCCCAAAAGCAARAKGACATACATTTTGAATTGCRAAAAAGGGTTGGATATGAACAGACATTACAATATTCCTTCAAAAATGGACATAGAATAATGAACACCATTAGCTAAAGCCTCTATCAAAATAGCTGTGTGTGCGTGTGATCTCTCATTAATACAGTTAAAGCAACTTGGGGACACAAAAAGAGCTTGTGAAYAAAACAGTATCAAAAAGTAAGAAATAACCAAGTTATTTTAATTGATCATTGTTTTAAGGAAATACTGTAAGCCAAGATTTGCAACAGCCTGCAGGCCAAAATCTGATCTGCATTACTTCCACATTAATCTCCAGTAACTGCTGACTTCAGTGGAATTAACTCATGACTGTAATTGGATCTGTGTTGGGGAAAGTACTTGAGGTTTTGCTGCAGTCCTTTGTGCCCTCTCATGCCCTTTTAATGTAATCTTGAAATGCTGAATGCTCTTTTCATAGCCAATAACCATATGCTTCTCTTTGTCAACAGGCTGAGTGGTGGAATCTCTTGCAATTTCTTGCAGTCACACAGGAACAGTCTCCTTTCCTTTTCTCCCCAGGCTCATTTTTATCTCCTTGTACATGTTAGAGGCACTTATGGTGAAACCTCACAAGGTGGCACCACAACACCATAGCAAGTCATAACTTCCTTTAACTGTTTAAATGTCCCTGAAATACATGGTGCCATACAGAATCTATAATACCACAAACAAAAAAATATGAAAACTGTGGCTAATTACTGATTTTAAAACTGTAYATGATTACAGAGAAAGTTTTGTGTCTCAACAGTGTATTAGTAAAAATATGTTTTACTAAATTATCTAAAACCGGACATTTATATTAAAAATGAAAAAGATATTTTCTTGCTGAAGCTGTAAAAACTCATATTCTAAACACCTGAATAGGTTAAGCCTATATTCTGAAACAACAGAATATAAGGGAGGGTAGAGTTTTTGTTGTGGAATGGGAAATRTTATGCTTGTCAGCTCAGAATCCTCAGTAAAACAATTTGGGCCAAAATAATAGCAGGATTAAGAAGAGTTTATAATGTTATTGCTCAGTACACCTCGTCTGGGACAGACAATGGAGTGAAATTTGATGAGGAAGGCATTAAAGAYAATAAAATTATAATTGTTCATGTCCTTAGGAAGATGTGTGTCAGAGACAGAAATACACGATGCAGCAAACAGATGTTCTCTTCCTTTGTCTGGTTCATTTTGCAGTTTTGGGTGTCTTGGAGAGATGAGAGTRACACTGTGTCACTATCAAATTCTCTTTGGTGGGGAAAAGGAAGGGACTGTTCTTGGTAGAATTGAAAGAGCATCAGCATTTCAGATAAAAGTGCATTTATTTAGCTATAAATTTTGCCTTTTTTGCCTGTAAGACATTTTACAGTCTGAACTCCAGGTGCAATTCCCCAGTGCCCTTTCCCTCTGACTGTTTCCGAGASCAGYRAGCAGCCAGGTGTGTCAGCCCTGGGTGCTTTGCAGTTACACTGTAGTGACTCCTTCCCTCTGCTCTTTCTCAGTCGGGATCTGCTCAGAGCCAGATGTTTTTGTGTAGAGATCCCTGACTCCTATTCTGAGCATTCTGCAGGTACAGGATCAGAGGCTSTTGAGTGTGTGCTCTCGAGCCCTGCAGCACAAGGCATCGTTTGTCCCCAGCTCTCCTAATGCAGCTCGGGGCCGTATGTGCCAGGGAATGTAGGGCAGAGTGGTTTAACTCTGCTGAAGAGGGCTGTGGGCACCAGGCCAGATTCCTCCTTTTCTAACTGGAACTTTTCTCCACTGAAATCAGTGCATGTGGCAGCCTGCCAGGAGCAAGGCAACTCATTGCTGTGGGCTTAATCACAGCTTGGGCAGTTCAATAGGGATCAAGCTTGCCCTGTGCTCTGCACACTGACAAGCTCTGGGAGTTGGTAGCTGCTGGTTGGAGGGGGGATAATTGAAGACTTTGGTCTGGACCCTCATGTAGAGCTCTGAGAAAGCTACAAGGTGTCTCTGTTTACTTGATGGAAATGGTTTTTGGTTTGTTCTGAGAAAACATTCATCTGTCCAGAAGCYAGATCCAGCTTTTTCATAGGCTCAGTGGTCATGGGCTGTTCCTCACATCACCACAGAGGCAGCAGTGAATTCATGCTGATCATTAGTAAGCTTTTTTAGCAATCTAGTATTCAGGCTTACTTCAATGACATCTAGAAATAAATTGATAATTGCCAGATTTTTCTGCATCCCTGCTGAAAGGAAGTGATCTCCTACTTAGACATCTGCTTGTAGAATCAGAGAATCACAGAATGATGTGCTCAGTTGGAAGGGACTCATCAGGATCATCAAGTCCAGCTCCTGGCCCAGCACAGGACACCCCAAGAGCCACACCAATGTTATCCAAACTCTTCTTCCACTTTGTCAGGTTTGGTGCAGTGACACTTTGTCATTGTGGACTAATAGACTCTTTAGAATAGACTCTCTATTCTAAATAGAATACTGATATTTTAACCAAAAGGTATTTTGTGTTTTCTGAAAATGATGATGCTTTTTCTTTTCTTTATACAGATATAAAGTTTATACAAAAAGCTCTAGATTCAGAAAGAATTCCCTCCAGAAGAAGTTAGAAACTGAAAGACTGTTTTTRTTCTGCCTAAACAAATAGGTTATTTGATGTGTCTATTCACAGAAAGAAATTCAGTTCCAGGAAATTTAGTGAGGCCCTTCATATGTTTAAAATTTTTCATCTCTTTTATGGTGATTTTAGTGACTTCTGTTCTTATATTCACAGAAATAAATTCAGTTCCAGGAAATTCACAGAGGCCTTTCATATGTTTAACATTTTTCATCTCTTTTATGGTGATTTTAGTGACTATTGTTCTTCTAATGATATAACCAAATATGATAAGGAAGTGTAGAAAAAWTCCCTATTGTAATTTCACACATCCTCATAATGACAGTAGCACTAGAATTTGCATTCAAAAATCCCTCTTACTACACATCTTTAAACTTTGGCTTTCTACAGAATTTTCTTGCAGATATCCCTAGTGGAATGACTTAGTCCCATGTGCCTAATTCTCAGTATTTTTTTCCATTTCCAGTTATCTCCTCTAACTGAAGAAGCAGAGGGAATAATTAGTGTCCAGAGATGCTAATGTGTTTTGAGATATTTTCATTCCAAGAAATTCACCAAGTTAAACAGTGGGTTATGAATGCAATTAGCTTGGCCTGATTTGCTTAGATGAGGTTTTTTCCTYGCTGTGATAATTCTGTAGTAGGCAGATATCCTTGGGGGCTGGAGCTCCACAGGAAGGCTCCTATTCTCTGCAGGAGGCAGCCATCAGATCAGGTCTGTCAGTAATATTTTGCTTTATTCAAGCATGGAATGCATAAACAAAATATCAAAACCTGCAAATAATAAATGATTCTGTTTCTAAAGAAATATTAATATGCATGGAGAGATGGAAAACAGATTTACTGTGGTATTTATACTGTTTCATGCTTTATGAGACAGCACGTAGACTGGAAGAAAATATCAAAACTTTGTATGACAGATAAGTGAAGGGGAATTGTGAACTGGTCATTATCTCCAGTATGTCCCTTTGGTTTTGCAGAGCTTATTAAAACATGAATAGTTAATCTGAGACTGCTGAAAAATGCAAAACACCTTCCTTAGTCATTTCATCTGTACCTGACACATTTTGTTTGAAAGTCTGTGCTTTACTACACTAAACAAAGAACATTGGAGTTCTCATAAAGAACACAGGCATCAGAGTTCTCACTCTATTTTTATTTCCTGTAAAACGGTGCAGAACTCAGCTAACATTCCCTCTCATTTGCTTGCTGGAAATGAGGACATTGTGTACACAAAGAGGCTGCAGACTTCCCACTAATGCCACTGCCCTCGACATCATGAGTAAGCATTTGACTAAACAAATTCTGGTAAAGCCAGAGGAAATACATGCAACAGGATCTTCATATGTTGGTCAAAGAGCTTCTTGGAAGAAACCTGAGATTTGTTATATCACTTTGAAAATATCAGGGTGTCCTTTGAAGGTTCACTCTTGTTCATGTCTTGAGCAGAGATGGGGCAGAACACCCAGTGTTTCTGCAGTTCATCTGTTGGATTCACCTGGAGAGTAACAGTGCAGGGAAACTCGAGCCTATTATCTGAGAAGAGCCTTGCAAAAACCTTAACTCAGTAAAATGAAACTGAGGGGGTTATGARTGTGTGATGAAACCCAGGAAGCTGGATTCAGTGTCCTGGGTTTGGAACCCTACAAAACTTCCTACCTTTCCTTATCCTATTTACCTACGATATAAAGCAGGTGGGATTATTTAATTGATGTCTAATCCAATTATCTACAAATGTGATTCTTAGTGGCCTTTAACTCCTCTTATGTTTCACTAAAAAAAAAAAAAAAAAGGGAAAATGAAGGGTATAGCAAAGGAAAGAGAGTCAAGGTCACTTCCCTGGACATCTAATGATTTCTTCTGCCCCCAAGCAGGACCTTCAATCACCTCCACAACTGCTGAGGCAGCCAATTTCTAAACTTTTTTATCTTAGAAATCCATTAYAGGGACAAGAGGAAAAGACAATTGTGGCAATAATTTTAAATCAAGGTTCATAGGTGATTTCATTTTTGTGAATGGGATTTGCTTTCTGTTTAACACTATCCTTCTTTTTAATGTTTGTACTAACTGTGACACTGGAGTAGTGTTGCTGGCTGTCTGTTTAATCTTTTTTTTTACCCTTTTTCGAATTCATAAAACAATTTATATTCTTTTTTTAATGATTTGTTTTAGCTCGCAATAGAAATTTGGAGATTTGTTGTCAGCTTTGATTTATAATTGTCTGTGATGCATAGCAGGGATTTATGATTTGACTGGTTTGCATCTTTTATCTATGAGCATAATAAGCTGCTAAAAAGAGTTTAGACCAGAAAAAAAAATTGTATTCAATTCTAGTACTACTGAGAATGGAATTTTGGCCTGATGTTTCTTTGAATGCACATGGTCAATGAAAGCAAATGAACAGAATAGAAATAGCTACATGAACTTCTGGAATACTCTCACTAATTTGGGACCTGGAGGAGGGAAATTCCTCTCATTGTATTTCTGTCTTCAATCCAACTGAAATACCCAAGTGCAGAGCACTATTAGATGTTTTTAATAGAGCATTTCAAAAGTTCACAAGTAGATACAAGATATTTTTGTCAAAATTTTAGATAGATTATGGATGATGAGCACAAACTGCTGTGTCACCAACTCTTTTTTTTTCATGGGTGTTTGGTTGCAGAGGTTTTTATTTTGAAGGGTTGTATTTTGCCCAGCACTGAACTCGGAACAAGATGTATAGATTCTATCCAGAGTTTGCCAAAAAGCACAGGAGAGTGTATAGACACTGTGAGAAAGAGTCTTTTTTTGGTTAAAAAAGTTATTCCACTTAAAGTACTAGCATTTTAAAAGTCTGCTGTAAGAATAGTGTAATCAARTGTAATTACTGTAATTAAGTTTGTTCCCAAAAATGGTCTTTTGGGGGGGATTATTCCTTTTCTTTTACTTAAGCTTGTTTATTCAGCTGTAATTGCAAATGTCCATCAGTACCTTGAGGATGTCTGAACAGAGAAATAACAARTATCACTCCATACCTTGGTGTAAAATGCTACCAGAAAGCCTTGGTGCTGAGGGAATCCTCAGTGCCAGCAGCACAGCCCTGTGTTTAGGTACACAAAATCCCCTGCCAGAACATTGTACCAGAACTGCCTGGCCAGAGCTGGGTCTGCTGCTGTGTCAGGCTGTATTGTCCAGTGGAACCCTTTGTTCTATCCTTAACTGATGTCTCTTGCCCCTTGATCTGAATACACTTGGTGCTAGAGCTTGCCACAAGTACTGCCCATATCCTACCCTTTTTCCTCAGGTGAATGTATCACCTCTTCAGGAATTGTGTCTCATTTGGGACTGAAGGGTTTGGATTGGCACTTAATACCCTGACAGTAAATAAACCATCTTAGTTGTCCTCATCACTCCTTATTTACTCTCAGTTTTTTCCACCAGCCTTCTCCCAACACTGTTCTGTCAGCCCTCTCTCCTCTCTGCTTTCCTTGCAAAACACATTTCTTGAGATACTCCTTCTCTCACTAAAGGTGCAGCTTCTGAGTGTAGATGTTGCATGCAGGAATTACCAGGTTATGTCAGTACACAGCAGTCTTGTGACTGGGTAGCTGTTCTGGTAAATTCTTGAGGTTAACTCAGTGAAACCCTCTGAAGATTCCAAACAAAAGTACTTGCTGGAGCTGTTAAAGGCTTTGAGTAGGATATCTATTCCCTCCTCTTTGTGAAGAGTTCCTAAGTATCCCAAAGGTCAAGGGAGTGCAGCATTGGTGTAAGCTGGCACTCCTCAGGCTGAGCACACCTGCAGAGTACAATGYTTACTGACAAGTACAACTGCAAATTTGCCATAGAAAATTCTAGAAACAGTGGAGACAGGAGAGCAGTTGTCTAGATAYGACGGAATAATTTTCCACTTACCTTTTCTTAGATAACACGACAATTCAATATCCGCCTCAGTTGGAAGGGAGTTGGGGTTAGTGTGGCTCCAAATTTAAATGTTGTGACTTACTTTTGAATCTGTATTTCCTCAGTTGTCCGTGTGCTTCCTGTCTTTCTACAAAGCCAAAGCCAGGAGTTCCAAAACAGAAAACCACAGGAAAAGCTGCTCTGGTAATGTTTGTCTTGAGCGGAAACAAATAGCAATAGAGACTTCCTGCAAAATAATTTTCATATGACAAATGTAGCCTGGATTCTAGACCAAMTAGTCTGGCTAAATCTCCCTATTTTTAGTTCAGATTATATTAGTTATAGCGTTTTTTTTTAACACACATAAGTGTCTCTCAGTTAACCATCTGTAGGGGTTTTTTCATCCCATTCAGCTTCAACAAATACAATTACCCTTTAYTAGGATATTTGATTTATTTCTTGAAAAGTGATGAATGCACTTGGTATRAAGTTAAGAATTCAAAAATCGAAAGGATTGTCTGGGCTTGTAACTACCTGCAGTCCCTGGGAAAGACAATAGGAACAAGATAGTGAATGTTTTTCAATAAGCCCATGAGTGCAATGATCTGATATCAGCATTAAGCCTCAGCTATGAGCTGTTCTGTCTTTGAAGAAGTTTGTATTATAGTTTAAATGGAGGGAGGGAAGTGATCCACAGCTGCTGTACATRGAAAGGATGTTCAGGAGCTACTGGAGAAATGCAGTTTTATGGTCACACTTAATACAATGGAAAGGTGTCAGCCAGGGTACAGTGTACTAAGAAATGAGTTAAAAGTTCAGGAAAAGGGCCAGAGGGTGACAAGTGAGAGAACTGGCTGGGCCTCTGAAATGTTGTGCTGAAAATAAGCACAACTTCAAACAGGAATGGTCTGTATAACTGCTATTTAGCAGTTGTAATCAGATGTAAATCTAGGTGATCATAGAATCTTGCCTTTTWCTGTAAGTCCCCATTATATGTATATATTTGGTTTTCTGAAGGAATGAAGTATTACATAGGAGTAAATCCATTTATGTAATAATATAAAGGAAGAAATCCATATAAATGGAAGTAAGTTTCGCTGTAAGCAGCTGAGATAATWGTGTTTTATTAGTTGTGTCATTATCTTTGGTTATATCTCTTACTATTAATCATTTAATCTCTACAACATGAAATTCTACATKAAATTCTCTACATGAAATTCTGCTTTTCCTCTTCAACATTCCTGCCAAGCCCTGTAGAAGTTCTCCAGCCATTGGGATCCACATGAATGCTGACAAKMCAACAACTAAGTGCATAGGATTGCTCAGCTCCTTGCCACAGTTAAGTAGTTCCTGCTTTTTTATTCAAAAGGGGTCTAGTTTGACTTTTTCTCCTCTACATGGCTACYAGCCTGCCTGGGTATCTTCACAAGTCAGATCACAGATATCCAACACTGCYATTCACTGAATTGTGTAATTGTTGCTTTTGCATAGTGAAGAGTTCTTGATAAAATACAGTGCAACAACAGCCAAAAAAACCTCAAACCCAATGTATTTAATGTTGTTGTATACTCAGCTGGTGTCAGCTGAGACAGTTAACTGAAGTTAAATGAGATCTTTCCTACTGAATCAGAAACTGCAGCTAAGCTTCCCTCATTCAGAGCTTGTATCTTTTTTCCGTTTTGAGAGGGGAACACAAATGGTGACTGTGCAAGAAGAAAGGAGCACCATCTAGTGTTTAAAGAACAATGCTGGAGAATGAAATATTGCTATCAGTTAAAACAGATCATGTAGTTCTTTGACTGACTTGTTTGYATAGAAGGAAAGAGTATACTCTGGAAATGTAATACTATGATGTCCTTCATGGACATTGTGGTGATTGAGAGACAGGGGAATGTAGAATGACAGACTTCATGAGAAACAGTCATTTGGAATAATATTTTGTCTGTTTTTTTGGCTGAAGAAAAAGCTTAGGAAAGTTTTGCTCATTCTCCACTTCCAAATAATTTAAGTAWCAATAGGCCAAGTCCATTCAGCCTTCAAAATAACATGTGATCCAATATGCAAGTACTGTACATAATCAGACTGTAGCAGGGTGACAGTAGTTTCCWTGGCAGTGACAGTCATGGATAACATTTTTCAGGAACCTGCAACACGTTTGTTAAAATGGGGTAAAAGTAACAGTTTAGGCTACATCTCAGCATGCACGTTTGGATTGACACTGGGTGGAAGAGGAACGGAGAGGGACTGTTGTCTGTAGTTCCATTGTTCTGGAAAGAAAAAAACCAATGGATGTTCTGTGTGAGCTCTGAAAAACTCTGGGGTTCATCTCGAATGGAATTCCTATTTTCAGAAGATATCAGACAAGAGACAAAGTCATTTTTGCTTTCTGTTTTGTGAAAAGAAGCAGTGTATGCTCTCAGCCATTCTAATTTCGGAGCTATGATCTCACTTTAATCAAAAGCACAGTGCAGATGYGCTGCTTGTAATTTATTGATGTTTYCTGCACTTCTGTAAGCAGKWCAGCATGAGACTGGCACAGACASCAGCTGTATTTTCTCTGCCTCCATATTGATAGACTCTTTTTCTTGCATATTTACCTTTTTTTCAGAATAAATGTGAACTCATTCAGGAACCATGAATACCCATATTCATTGTAATATAAAGTCATTACAATTACAATGAGTTAGACCAGTCTCTGATTTTTGAGAGCAAAAACATTTTTATTTTTTACATGGAGCTATTGGCCTTGTCAGTCAAAAATTGCTATTGCCAAAATACTAGTTAATTTTTATGAGAGAAAACCACACCAGAATAAAAGGGAATTTCAAGTATTTTCATGYTTGACAAGCTTTGTGGTTCTTTTGGGAGTATAACCACGGTTTCACTGCGTGTAACACTGGCTTGCCTGTTGCACTRTGCTTTGGAGTTCTGTGCACACCAAAAGCTTCACTGGTCCTGGCCTCTGCACAGGAGAGAAATCTTGTCTTGTCATACACTATTTTTATTTGTTTTCCAGAGATTTATTAGCAACAGAATGTCATCTGTGTAATCTGTGCATCCTGGATGCGAAAATATGACAGGAAGAAGCAGGTAAAAGTATTGYTTTCATTTATATTCAGCACAACTTAGAAATAAATTGCTGTTATTTGCCAGTCCACATCTGGATCTGTTTGTAAAAAAAAAAGGGCATACATGAAAAAAGGAACTTATTTCCCAAGAAGGGGAACTTTCTGTTTACATGAATCAGCTGTGAAATTAGGGGATTCTCTGCTACAAGTGTAGTAAGGAAGCTAAACAGAAAATTTAAAAAGAGAAGTACTGACAGCAAAAGTTTTGAGAATTTAGGATCATGTGATTCTTTAATTTGCTGCAGGACGTAATCATGGAACCAGCAGGAGCCATGGGTGCTCAGCACACAGAGAACAAGGCCACACTTCAGTACACTGATGAGATAATGTAACAGATCAGGGATAAGTGCTGGGACACTTCAACTTGTCTAAATGACTGAGATAAGAAAGTGGCAGCTTCTAAAGAGAATCAGTGTTTGCCTGTGTAACTCGTGTTCCAGCAAATGACACCTGCCAGGAAAGAGCCTGATGAATACTTTGTATTTCGGGAAGAAGATACTGAGCAGTATATATGGAAGAAACATTAGTGACCTGATATTAAAGCAGGATATTAAACCTTCTTGCTGTTCACATTTACTAAAAGAATCCTAGAAGAAAAAAGAAAAAAAATCTAGTTTAATTTGGAATGTTTAACCTTTCAGTAGATCCCACTTACGTCATATGAGTTGATTGGGGAGGTAACTTCCACGCCTCATTTTCTATAACAAATCATTCATGTTTTCCTTCTGGCAGAACTCTGGCTATCTCTTCACCCAGCACGTTTCTTATCAGCAGGTGACACCCAGAGGGGAGGACTTGAGGAATGCTGCTGTCCCTTATGTCAACATCCAAGTAGAACCTGCGGACAACTACACTGAATATTCAGGTGCTTTATATCCTTTATATCCTTTGCCATAGACTGAAAATATATCCTGGCCTATGAAACAGTTAATTTTTAATGAGAAATTAATCAAGGTATTTAGAAATGAGAACAGAATAAGGAAGCTCTGGGGAATTTAGGATTTTTCGGTAACTGAAACTTCCAAATTGTCAAGACTTAGTCAGATGAACCTATTTCATAAATAGAATTATGCTAATAAAAATGTGATAGCAAACATCAGCTCCAAAACGATTTTCACAGCAGACTTTTTGTGTTGTATTTAAGAGTGAGAATGAAAAGCTGTACRTCATTAAACATGGAACGGTCTCCTCCCATTTTTGAATGAACATGCCACATCAGACTGTTTTCTGTGTTAGTACCAGAGCATTAGGCATGTTTAAAGGAAACAGGCATACACTATGATCCAAACAGAAGGAGAAATGAGGTTATGTGTACCTCCCTGTGGCAACTTGATGTCTTCACAGTGAAGTTTCTTAGTGCAGAAGTTCCTTATTAGTAACATCAGAAGTTCCCTAGAGCTCAAAACGTGCTAGATATTTCAGTGAAAGAAAACCAGACTTTTTGCAAGCTAATCCCTGTAAAATACAGCTTTTTACCCACTGATGTGCCTGCATTTTCCACGTATTTTTCCCGCTCCTTCGGCTGCTGCTGCGATGCCAGGCAGGGATAGGATTCGGAATGGGAGACTACAAGAGAAAGGTTTTAATCTGGTCATAGGCCAAGGTCTGATTTGGGAAATTGTATTTGATGCGGTTCCAAAAGTGCTGGAGCCCGAGATCTGCGGCAGCACGAGGGCACGGGTCGGTGCGCGGGGAGCGAGGCAGCGCCTTCCCACGTCAGCAGCGGCCGATTTCCTGGGAAAGGGCCGTGCCGAGGCCGCAGCCGGCTCGGGGCTCGGGG